TTACTTTCTTAAAATAAAACTACTGAACTTTCGATACTACTAAAAAACCACTTTTCACATTTTTGTTTTCAAATTTTAACATTTTTGTTTTTTTACACTTGAAAAATGCAGGGTAGAAAGTCTTATAAAATAAATATTGTACCCAGTGTTGAAAATTAGTGTTCTCAGAGTTCTTATGAGAACACTATTACAAATTTGTGCACAATATAAACTTTCTATTGTTCACTATTAAAAATTTTTTGAGAACAGTAAAATAATAATAGTGTTCTCTTAAGTTTATATATAAAAAATAGCTGCCTTCATTTCTTGTTAATAAAAATAATAAATACACTTAGCTAAATAATTCTTTACTAATTAAATTCTTTCTACATATAACTGCATATAACTATAAATACCAACTATGTATATATAACTATATTATATTAAATATTTAATTTATTGAAATACTGTAATAAATGCTTTCTAACTAATTGATTAAGGTGCCTATATCTATATTAATCTAATGTAAATTTAGTAATCAAAACTGCAAAAAAATTCTTATTACGTATATACAATGCAAGAATATAAAATAGGAATTTCTTTATATAAAGTTCCTGTTATATATAGAAAGAAGTAGATACAGTATTGTAAAAAGATACCAGAAATAGAGTGATGTGCATGGTTATACAGCAATTCAAAAGATGTTACTGTGCAAAATCTGGAACATGATTGGGCATTATATTGCATAGTTTAAGGCGTGAGTGCAGATTTGATTTTTCACATGCAACTTCGTCACCAGATTCTAAAATTGGGTTGCATTTATGGTTAATGTTTATAATAATATTAAGAATACGATTTATGCCATATAGCCATAAAATTGGGAATACATATGATAAATATATACGGCAAGTATAAAAACTTTATACACAATCTAAATTTTATAAGGAAAATTATTTTCCGGCATTTAGGCAAATCTTGAGTAGTTAGTTAAGTTTCATTCCTGATTTTGCGCGATGGCATCACGCAACTATCTAGTTATATAGTATTAGCATTAGTATGCAATTTAGACTTGGCAAAAAACAAGTTAATATTATAAAATGTAGATCTCTATAGATTGACTTTTTTAGTTATATTTTAATATACAGTATTTTTAATAATTAATTTGTGCTAGTTGTTAAAAGCAGGTTATTGTGTAAAACGTATCATATAAATATTTTATCACTATAGAGCTACTAACATATAAAGCAAAGTAATGAAATTTACAGTCATATGTAAATCATTAATAGAGCCAAATCAAAAGCTATATAAAAAATTTTAATTCTCAAGTTTTATATATGCATATAAAAAAAAATAATTATTAATATAAAATTAAACTAAATCAAGTAAATAGAAAAAGAAAATTAATATATCGAACTTTCTTTTTTTAAGCCTAATTATTATGTAATATTCTTTAATTCTTTTTGAATCCTGTTAATAAAATAAATAATCTTGAATTTGAATTTTTTATTTTTGCTTATTTTTAAAGCATTTAAAGTTTATAATTTTTTTTAAATTGCGCATCTTAAATAAAGTTTCTTTTTCTTAATTTTAAGATGTCTAATTTTAAAAATAATCACGAACATAAGCAAACTAAAATTACCTCATTTATTTTTATAAAACAATCTTTCAAAACGTCAGAATTATTTGAAGATAATGACTTATTTAGCGAAGATCCTAATTTTGATAATTTTGACGATGATACTGCTACTAGTGAAAATTTAAATAATGAACATGATATTGATAATACAATTAAACAAAAAAACCTAAATACAGCCGTTTGGCTAAAGAAAATTTAAAGTGAAATCCAAATTGGAAAAATACTTACCTATGGGTTGATTTAATCATACGACAAGATGGAAAATATATGGTTTGTACATGGTGTATTGATGCAAAATGTAATAATATTTTTGTAACAGGCACTCAATATTTTAAAGAGCAATATCTTCAACGACATATGGAATGATCAGATCATAAAAAAGTTGTAAATGCACGTAGTAAAAATTAAGTTAACATTATATCTAGTATGTATCAGTATGCTGAGTCTGATCAATTACAAATAATGAGAAAAATGATGAACATTTATTTTCTTGTAAAACACAATATTGCTACATATTATTTTGAAGATTTATGTAATCTTACTGAGTTACAAATTCAACATTTTGAAAAAAACATTATATCTAGTAGTACAAATATTTTAAATTTACCTGAACTAACTATTATAACAAAATCTACATGTGTTGAATATGGATCATATATTAATAATCATGCTGGAAAGCAATTTATTATAGCAATTGCACATATTATTGAAGAAGCTACACTTAATGAATTATGAATATCTAAAGTATAGAGCCTTATAATTGATGAAAGTAATATAATAACTAATAAAAAAAATCTTGCTATTGTTTCATGACATATGTCATATAATTTGCCAGTTTTTCGGTATTTGGGTATTATTAAACTTCAGAATGTATTATCAAATGCAATTATTAAGGATTTAGATCAGTTTATTCTTGCTAAGCATTTGCCACTTGATACACTTTATCATTTTGGAAGTGATGGTGCAAGTGTTAATTTAGGTAAATATAAAATGATAAATGCAATATTATAATTTGTAATTATATTATAATTACAAGTTAGAATATTGTATTTAATCTTTATATAAATATATATTTTTTAAAATATATTTATTTATATTTATTAACTAATAATTATTATTTTAGAACATGTAAATGGAGTAGCGACACAATTAAAAGCTCATCTTCCATTTCTTACAGAGCATCATTGCATTAGTCATCATTTAGCACTTGCTTCTAAAGATGCTGCTGAGCAAACTCCATATTTCGAAACTTATGATAAAACTGTTCGACAGTTATATAGCTATTTTAGTCGATCACATTTACGATTACAAACTTTACACATGATTCAAGATAGTTTAGATAAGCCTAATTTAGATATTTTACAAGTTATAAAAACCCAATGGCTTTCATTAAGTAATGTAGTTAATAATCTTTACCAAATTATTAATTCAGTAATTAGTGCTTTATTAGAAGACTTATCTAAAGGCCAAAAAACTGCACAACAACTTTATAATAGTATTGATCAGGATTTTTAATTGCAACTCATTTTTTAGCTGATATACTTTCACAACTTCGTCGTCTATCTCTAGTTTTTCAAGCTGATTATGTTTCAGTTTCAGAAGTTACAATGCAAGTAAATGCAGTTATTGAATCTATTACAACTGATTTTATTGGTAAAGCAGATATGCAACCTACTTTTGGAACTATACTATTACGGTTTATGAATCAACAAAAATTTTACCTGAGGATCTTCCTTTATTTGTACAGGAATTTGCTATAAATATAGTAAAAAATATTAAACTTTGCTTTCCAGATCGTGTAATCATAAATTCATTTAGAATTTTTGATCTAAAACAATTACTTATTGATCATTATTTACTTTCAACTTATGGAAATTATGAAATTACTGAAATTAGAAATTTTTATGGAACTTCTAAAAAAACTGCAAGTAATTCAAATTTTTATTATATATAAATTTTAATTATATACAGTATTTATTTATATAATTTTAATTATATAAAAAATTAGAACATAAATATCAAAAGATTGTTGATGCAGATAATCTTGCACAAGAATGGCGAATTATTTGATCACTTCTTTCTAACTATCGTAATTTGCATATTACTAATGCATGGTATAATATATTACGGGATAATCAAGATTTTTCTTTAATTTATCCTAATATTTACATTATTATTTTTATTGTTCTTTGCTTACCTCTTTCTAATGCTTATGTTGAGCGTGTTTTTTCAAGACAAAATTTGATAAAAACAAAGCTTCGTAATAGAATTCATTCAGATACTTTAAATGATATTCTTATGATTTCTTTAAATGGCCCTCCGTATAATGAATTTAATTATGAGAGTGCTTATCAATTTTGGTGAAGCATAACTTTTCGTTAAATAATATTTTAAAATTCATTATTTAAATAAATAAAGATATATTAATTCATTTTAAATAAGCAGTTTAAGTTTAGTTGTATAAGTTTATTAATTAGTATTTTTTAAATAAACTATATATTAATTTATCTAATTGAACTTAAAGTTGTTTATTAATTATTGTGCTTTTTAAATTACTAATAAGCTAAAATTATTTTAAACTATTTATAGATTCCTGAGTAGAATTTAATATATTCGAAGCATAGTAATAAATTCAATTTTAAAAAAGAACTGCACGCATATTAACGCATATTATCTAATAGTTGGATGTATTTTAGCATAGTAGAGCTAAATATTAACCTTTATTAAATTACTAAAAGAGATATATAGTATATAGTACAATTGATATACAATTAAAAAAGATATATTACATATATCTGCGCGAGTAATATTTAATTGAAAAGTGATATAGAATACATATCTTCGAATTTTAATTTTATATGTATTTTTTTTTTTTTTTTTTGTTTATGTGAACATAACATAGCATTTGAGAACATCTATAACTATTATACTGTTCTCTTGAGAACAGTAACTGGGTCCGAAATTTTCAACACTGATAATAATTATTAATATATAATGATAAATAATGATTATAATCACTATTAATTTTATAAAATTTGACAGATTTTTACAGTATACTATAGATATCCAAAGTGACATAGTTTGTGTTTTAGTATTTTAATATTTTAGTATTTTAGTGTTTTAGTGTTTTAGTGTTTTAGTGTTTTAGTGTTATAGTGTTTTAGTGTTTTAGTGTTTTAGTGTTTTAATATTTTAGCATTTTAGTGTTTTAGTGTTTTAGTATTTTAATGGTTTAGTGTTTTAGTATTTTAATGTTTAGAAAATTTGTCCCAAACATAGTAGTTGATAATGGTTATATCATGCATATCTAAGCCAAATGATCAAATCAGTCAGAATTATCTCTCAGAAGTTCAGATAATGATCTAAAGAAATTGCCATAGCAGCACAGTATATATTACTAATATAAATAAGGAAAGTTATTTAATTTTTGATTTTAAAATAGTTTTTCTAATAGGAGTCTAGTTCTTGGTTAGTTAAAATAGATTTTTGATTATTAGTGATTGCTACAGCACTTTGAATTGTCATATATAAATCTTCCAAAGAATTCTGGCTGATTTGATCATATATGCATGATGCACTCATTATTAGCCTATTATAAATACTATATTTGAGATAAATTTTCTAAAACATTAAAACACTAAAACACTAAAACACTTAAACAATAAAATGTTAAAACACTAAAATGCTAAAACACTAAAACACTAAACACTAAAATGCTAAATCACTAAAACACTAAAATGCTAAAATGCATATCACTAAAACACAAAATCAAAATTTTTTGCTAAATTTGATAATAATTTCCTTTTATAAAATAATTTTTAATGTCTATAATACTAAAACACTAAAATGTTAAAACACTAAAATATTAAAACACTAAAACAATTTTTTTTTTTTATTAATATAATGCCATAGTAGAAACTTTATTACAAATAGAAAAATAATTTTAAACCTAAAGATTTCTA